AACCCAAAAAGGAAATCGGTGATTCACAAATTCATGCTACAGTAACTACAGTTGCCGAGATCAATGACTCACAAATTTATGATACAGATGCCAGGGTCAACGAGGCACAAAATCATGATGCAGCTGCTGAGGTCAATGTCTTACTAATTCATAATTCTGATAATGAGGTTAATGACTCACAAGTTCATAACAATGCTGATGTGGTCAATGACCCACAAGTTCGTAATCTCACTGATGTGGTCAATGACTCAGAGGTTCAGAATGCTACCAATGAGGTCAATGACTCACAAAGTAATCAGACACCTGATGAAGTAAACGGCTCGCAAATTCATCATGCGGTGAAGGGAGTCAATGAAAAAAAGAATCTTGATGGAGCTGACAAGGTCAGTGGTTCACAACTGGCTCATGTCATTAACGAAAGTAATCCGCAAACAGCCAAGCAGGCACTGGAGGTTGTTCCACAGTCATCCCTTGAAACTAGCGAGGATTTTGCACAGCAGGGTGATAAAGCAGTCTTGGTATAAAAAACACTATCATGCATCTTTATAGAGGTGGCTTTTGTTCCACTAATTTATGGTGTTTTTTCATGCATTTCCTTCTGGAACGTGTGAATTATAATTTCTGTTTTGTTATGCAGGTTACCTGAGATTGAATCTGCAGAGAGAGGTGGACCTCTTGAAGGAAAATTTTATCGTGTAAATGCAGTCTTGAGTCTTCTGCAGCTTATTAATTTAGTTTTCACCGACACAAAATTAAAACATAATTTAAGCAGAGATGGAGGAGTAATGTTCTAGAGATACTTAGAGTTGACAGGCTATTTATTTGATGTTTTGCTAAAATAGGCTTTATTCTTAATGTGAATTCCATGAATATATCCGGTGTACTTGAATCAGAGTTGCAGTTTTTCTACAATATTAGGAATGCAGTAAGCTATGGCAGTTTTAATGACTTGTTCATAGAATTTAGTGACATTATAGAACTTGGTTTACTGCAACCCTTAATTGGGTGGAGTTTCACTTTTGCTGAGGATGCAGTTTTTGGTTACATTTCTTACTACATATATATTTATAAAGCTTTCTTAGTGACAATTTTTATGCATTTATAACTAACCACAACTGTCAAGAAACCACTGAAAGTGTAAACAAAGGAAAAAGGGTAAATTGGGGAATTATGCATAAGGCTGAAACGAGAAAAGTAGTATGGGCTAATTCAAATGCTTATTGCTGATTATCTTTTCCATTGTAATTAAGTGCGCCCCCCTTAAGTAGGATATATATAGCTAGTTGGTGGGAAGTTCTGCTCAGAAAAATTCAAATTCCAGATTCAATTATATATCTCGAATTCTCTCTGTCTCTCTTCCTCCTCTATCTCTTACCTTTTTAAATCACATCCTCCCCCCTAGCTCTCGTTACTAGCATTCAAGTCTCAGGACCACAGCTGTTGACAATAACCTGAGTTACACACCGATTTCCAGACTTCTCTTTGCTTTGACACCATGAGTTATCATATGGCGACTGAATTTTTCCCTGAGTGAATACTGGTAATGATTTCAGGGAATCTTGGTTTGGTTTACAGGACGCTAACAGGTACTACGTACTGTCAGCCTAGGTTCTGCTTGAATTTGCTTCTAAGTAGCTGAATTTTAGAATTTATATTTGAGCTGGATCTTATAAACACTCTGATGCTCAATTGGTTATTTTTGGTGGAATGAACAAGAAGAGAAAACTGGGGCAAAACTAATCTGAATTTTCATTTGAAACCTTAAATACATGCTTACAGAAATGCTGTACTAAACCCCAGACTGAGGAGAAAAGATTACAACTTAAAGTTGACAGCAAATGTCAAACCTTTTAATCATTGTACTGATTAATAACCGTAACTAGAAATTGTAAGGCAGAAAACTCAGATGCATTCTGGAAATTTTAATCATGGTGAAAACCTGTCTTCAAATCAAGAATTTGGTAAACAGGAAGGTGCTCATTGAAAGCTTGTTCTGTATCAGTGTAATGTGCATAGGCACTTCGATAACGTTTTTTGAACATCTTCCCACAATTACATAAGCTGGATTTTAGCAGATGCTTGCTGGGTGCCTGTTTTACTTTTGAGGCTCTTTAAGGGAGGTAGGAAGAAAATTGGATATCACTTGATATCTATACTGTTATTTCACAGGCTTTTTTTGGGTTGGCTTTTTAGTCTTCATTCACAAATAAATCGATTTTACATGTTTGGATTTTCATACATCTTATGCTTACACTAATATGGTAGATTGCTTAGCTTATAAGGTATTGGCACTTGTCCTTCTCTTTGACTTTCTACCACGAAACAAGGTAAGACGACGAATGATGTTTAGCAGCCTAGTAGCATATTTCCTCTGTGAAGTAAAACTCACAGACCCAATACAGCCTGTTGCTTGCCCGTGTGCATTATTTTTCTTGCTCATTGATCTATTTTCCAAACCATATGTTTTTATTTTCTGCACTTTGATTGAGCCTCTTTTGTTTGGAATCTTCTGCTGTTGAAGGCTTCTTTTCAAGGACATAAGCTCATGTTCAAGGTTCTGAATTCTGAAGCTTGTCGACTCATACTCCTTTCTGGAAAATTCACACCCCTGCAGTGCTGAGTCATTTGCAAGAAGGATGTTTAATGTCCTGCTCTCTGGCTCTGCTCTATCTCTATAGGGGCTGTCTCCTGGATTTACACTGTTGGAGTTTGGGCATCTTGAGCTCGGAAGGCTTCCAGAGAAGTCTCCAAACTGCGCGTGCCTAAACGAGTTTGAGCATTCTTTGAAAGCTTGGTGGGTGTTACGCTGTTGAATGAATAGAGCTTGGACAATTAAACGCAATGGCATCAACTCATTTTGAACCGCTTCAATACATGCCTCTTGTGATAGCTTTTGGCAGTTGAGGTACTTGCAGACTGATCCCTTCTCTTCTTGAGGTAGATCTATATGTGCCTGAATAGGAAATATATAAACAGGTAGCAAGAAAATTACTCGGGGTGACTTATTAAGTTTAGCTAACTTGAAAATCTTTTGGATCCTTGAATGCACACCAGAAACTTACCTGGAGATATGTGTTCAGTGCTCTATAGAGTTGATCGTGGCTTTGTCTGAAGGCAATCGGAACCTTTTCAATCAGTTCCATGAATCTTTTAGGCTCCATTTTTGGATCTGCAGCAATGTGGGACAGATAAATGTCCCATGATTCTGCAATGATTGAGTTTCTTGCTGGAGTGTGATTGGAGTCCATGTTAGACAATACATACTTGGAAAATATAGTCTCCATTATAGCCAACTCCTTGCTGGAAGAAACAGACTCAATCTTAATTTGAGGGAAGAGAAAATCTCCCACCTGGGCGAAGTGTAACATAGATGCAATCTGATCTTGCAACTTCACCCTGCTGTGACTTGTCATGCCAAGTTCAAGGGATCTGGCAAGCAAAGCAAAGTAAAACCCAACAGGAATAGCTCCACTTGCCTTTTCTCCCATGGGCAACAGATCAAGAATACCTTGTAAAATACCAGACACTTTCTGTTTTGCACCACTCTCTCCAATTTTCTCACCTGAACTCTCCCAGTATTGGCGTGTCTTCTTTAATAGCACCCATTTGTTGGCATAGAAGACCATAATAGGACTCACATACTTCTCTTTCATTCCTTGTCTTCTCAAGGATCCTATTACCCTTTTGAAGAATCCAAAGGGCTGAGCCATGAGGTCTTTAATCCACAAGTCGTTGCTCACAAGTGCTTTTGCATCCTCACAACTCCATGCTTGACCTGCTAATGCCTCCAAAGTCACAACTGGTTTCTCCCGCCTTCTCTCAGGGTCAAGAATCTCCATACAACACATGAAGGCTAGGGACTCTATGCACCGGCTAATGATGAGCAACTCTTCAGACCAGGGTAGCAAAATTTGGCACCTCTGAAGAACAATCAGCGTATCATCCCAGCTTTGGAGGACTACCTGGTTTAAATAAAGATCAAACCTTTCACAGAGGTTACCGGTACTGTATTCTTCTGTCATTTCAAGAAACTCTGCTGCACATCGCAGGGCAGCTATATTGAAAGGATCGATCAAAGTGGAGGAACCATAGATGAACAATGCAATCATTTCAAAGGTTTCTGGTCCTCCGGGAAAATCTTCTGGCAAATCAATTACTGTCGACTCATTCATTCTCTTGTTGAAGTATCCACTCCTTGAAAACAGAGGGTACTGCAAAATATTATTAACAGAAGTGAAGTTAAGGATTGGATCCTCTTGGAGTTTTCTTAGATACCATATTGATCTTACCTTGTGTAGATTGAACGTTCTGCCACAAACCCGAACCTGTATAGAAACAGGTAAACCAGTCTCCTGGCTCCTGAGATAGGATTGAACCAATATCAGTTTCTCCTCAGAATTACAGTTTAACAATGCAGCTTGAACAGAAGGAGACACACGCACGCACACACACAGAGGAACCCTGTTCATGTCTTACCATGAGAGAACCTTGATCTTTAGCAGGGCACTGATATTAGGCGATGAGAATGGACTTGAAGAAACTGAACTATCTTTGGAGCTCGCAACTTCCATGGAAAGAGAGCTTTTCAAAACAAAGAAGTTACTGAAAGTGAAACTCTGAAAGGCATTCACAGTCAATTTCACTGGTAACTGGTGAGTACAACCACAAGCTTTTCTTTTAATCTCTCTCTTTAGGTGGCCATTAATGCTTGAGAAAATCAAGAACCGGAGGATTAGAAGAGCTTCTACGATCCAGAAAACCAGAATTATGAAAAGGTGGGTTGATCAGATTTTCCACGCACACGGAGAAATTGTTATTGGTATCCACTTTATCAAACAGTTGTATTATATGTACAGTCAAAGTCAAACACACACGAGTGCAGCTCAAATCCAAATTTTAAGGCTTCAAAAACGTTCCTAGATTGCTGAGAATTTGAATTATTGTGCCACTACTAGGCCTCTTGCCAATAGAATATATGGGGAGTTCCTCAAAGACCGCAGTTGTTCATGTAAGTCTTTTGCTTCGAGTGATTTCTGAATTGTGATTGTGACAACCCATGTAGCTTTGGGTTTGCCATTAATGGCTTACCTCATCTTATTCTATTTATTCAACAGAGAATCATATACCCGCTGATGAAGATTTTAATATATAAATATATAGGTATGCATGTATATCTTTCAGGTTGTAGCAAATTGATGACAGAACATTGCTTGTCGATGAAGGGTTTGTTCATAGAGAACCGGGAAGGGCGTGTTTGGGAATTACAAAATTGGAGGGATGAAGGAAAGCAATTGAAAATATGAATGGAAAAAGTAAATATAAAAATTGAAAAGTGGAGAATCAGATGAAGTGGGGAGTAAGGTTTTGAGCATATGCCAAAAAAACACCCAAAACGGCACGGCTTCTGAAAAGACGGGTGCGTTGGATGGTGAGGTTTTTGCTTTGCTTTCTCCCAGCAGTTAATCTCAATCCCCATAATCACTTCTCTCTCTCTCTCTCTCTCTTTCCTTTACCAAAATTCTACTACACATAAACACACAAATTTATTTATATAAGAACTTTGTATAGAATGGGTAGAAATTAGTAAATAGTAAGTACCTTCATAATTTAATATCATATAACATGATAATAAGTCTACCCAAAAATAGAACAGTAATTATACATACATATATATATATATATATGCATATATAAAGATCGTATGTTTCATTTGGTGATTGGGTAAGCTAGCTATGTTGTCCGTAAGTTTGTAATTTGTTTGGTGGGCATAATTGGTTTTTCAATTAGGTAAAGAAAGAGGAATATTCAAAAGTTTAAACTGAATATTTTGATTATTAAACTCAAGACAAACTTTAACAATGAGTTGTAAGAAAGAATTCAATTTTTATTTCCAAAAAATTCCATTATAGTTCCAAGTCTAATTTTTGAAAAAATTTTAATTATAAAATATATAAAATGTAGTTATATTTATATTTTATATATTTGATTAATAATTAAACTAATTTCATTTAAATTAAATTAAAACATGATTCTATAAATGAAAGTTAAAACATGAGCTCAAGCTATACATGGCCTTTTTTTTTTTTTTTTTCTTTCTATTTGGCCTTTAAATGGCTACCCTAGTAAGAATTGAAATCTCACTCTCTTGGTAAAAAAGGAGTTGCTGGTCAATTTAGAATGGAGGGCAAGCCTAGCAAGCATTGAAATCTCCCTCTCTCGGTGAAAAACGAGAGCCAGCCCAGTAAGAAAGGAGGCCTTGCCTAGCAAGAACTGAAACCTCACTCTCTCTTGGTATAAAAGCAGGGTAACCAACACACCAAGCATGAGTTGGTCGGTATACATGGTCTTGATCATTGTTAATTTAATTAATTGGTGGAGAAAGATAGGGTCTGGGAGAATTAATTGACAATCAAGATTAAAACTAAATTCAAAGAAAATCAATGATTACTGTTAATTTTGGACGTTAACAAGAAGCCAAACTGAGGACTTCACCTGAAAAATGAAGAATACAAGTTGCTCTCTTAAACATTCCCTGATGGCGTCTCTGGAAGGTCTCTATAGATTCGCATGATTAAAGATAAAAGTAGAGCATTGAAATCATTCAGTAATGGTAAAATATGATAGCAGAAAAGGAGTTCCATTAAGCAACGTATATTTAGGACTTGCAACTTAGCAACTCAAAAAAAATGCTTTTCTTTACTTATTTATGATTTAACCAACAAGGAGCTTGAGTTAGCATTTTCATGTGCATTAGAGTTTTGGGACATACAAACAACATTACAGGCTAATGAAATACAAGGGACAAAAAAAAAAAAATACTACCAGCGAGGGCTGGAACCTTCCCTTATTGAGGGAGATCTGGTACTCAAGCTAGCATCTCTTCCAAATCTTGACACACTTCTTGCACCTTTAGGAGTGCCAAATCCAGGGCTTCCACCTCGGTAAGTGGCACGCAGTGTTTCATCCACTGAAGATGAAGACTTGGCTATTGCTTTCCTGAAGAACTTCTGGGCTGCAGGTGAGAGTGTCCGCACACTTGGACTAGCACTTCCCCCTCGATGTGGAGATGGCAATGGTGGTTTCTGAAACATACTAGATCGCTCTCTCAATTTACGTGCAGCCTCTCTCGATAATGAGTGAGCCTTCACATCTCGTGCAGGAGCACATGGAATCCTGTAATGTGGACCTTCAGCACTGCCGCTAATATCAATTGGCGGGTCCTCTGGGTCCAATCTCAGTGGAGTCCCTTCAATTTCACCCCATGTGATAAATGGGGATTCATCAGCACCTGGTGCTGGAGATGGAGTCTTGACAAAGCTATACCCATTCTCAGCTTTCTTCCCTGACTCCACATAAAAAGGATTTGGTGTCTTCCTCAAATCCTCCAAATCATACTTCTTTGACTTATCTCCAAATCTATCTGACACCGGCAGTGGAGTTCCGCCAACAACAGGGGTATAAAGTACCTCTACTGTCCCATCGTCTCTGGGCCTAGAATCCATCATTTTACCATGAAACCTTGTGTTTGATATGTTAATCTCCTTGGTCAACCCCTTCAATCTCACTGCTCGTTCCCCTTCAGTCAATGGTGCCTCACCATTGTCAGAGGGGTGATACATCAACAAGTTCTTGGCAGTATATTTCCATCCTTCCAAGGTACTTGGAGGCTGATCAGACGTACCATACCCGTCTGTTATTCTATCTCTCTTAGCATCTTCAATTGACTTAACCTCGTCCTTCTCACATTCCAGCAAATACCCATACCTCTCCTTCCTCTTCTTGTTCACCTTCTCCAAAATCCTTGAAAAACTATCATTATCCTCGCTAGTATACCTCCTGAAGAACTCATCTAACGACAGGGAAGCATCTACCTCATCATCATCCTTCCTACTTTCTCCACTACCAGATAATTCCATAATGGGAACAACACCAGGGGTTCTTGAGGTTTTACTATCAAATTCATCGAAAGGAGTAAAATTTCTAGCAAAAGTAGAACCAGGGGTTTGCGATTTGCGCTCAGAGCTAGCAGTATTTACCTTTCTGCCACGCCGCTCGATAATCTTCAATTGGACATCTCGGATTTGAACCGGATCTCCTGTCTTGACTGCCTCCAACCAATCGAGCCTGTCCTTGAGCTTCGCTATATCGGGGAAATAATCGCGCTCGATGATCTTTTCGATCGCCGCGACGTAGGAGTCCTCGTCAAGAACTTTGGCCTTCTTCCTAGGGTTTTCAGGGGTGATGGAAGAGCCATCAGGAGGATTTTGGAGGGCGAAATCGGAATAAGGAGATGGAGACGGGGATGGCGAAGAAACATGCCGCGGAGAATGGCCCGGCGAGAGAAGCATCTTCAAGCAGTGGCTAGGGTTTGTCGAATTGGGGTTCTTTTCGTGGTGCACGCGGTTTTGGGTGAATGTCGAGTCGGGTCGTTTGCCTGTTTTGGCCTTTAAATAGATTTTCAATTAGCGTAGGCGCGTTTGATTAACCGACCATTACTAGGAGATTTCACTTATTACTTACCAATATTAATATCATTAAGCCTTAAATATTTTAATTTTAATTAATTTCTTTAACAACTCATTTTCTTAAAAAACAATTTAGACATAAAATATATTTTTTAAATATTTATTTTCGAAGTAAAAATATTTATTTTATAATTAATTAAAAATTTAACTATTTGACTATATTTATCTTTAAGTAAATTAAAAAAAAAATCAAATTGTACAATTTATTAATAATTTTTTTTTTTCAAAATTTTACCATAATTAATGATTAATTGAGATTCATTTATAAGTTTCGGATACTTCCATTATTAAATCGAATTGTGCAAGTTCTAGCAACAATAGTTTCAGTGATTTTTATTTTTATTATGTATAAAAAATGTAAAACTAATATTAAATTAATTTAAGATCAGCCCAATAAATAAAAACTTATTCATATTTAACATAAACGTAGTCCAAATTGACAGCCCATTATCTGGAGTCATACATTTAAAATCCAACCTTAAAGCCCAGTCCATTTCGTTCCATTTGGGCCACCATGGTTTCCGATGGTTCCTACTCTGGTCTCAAACGACACCGTTTTTCAATTAATACAGTGAGTTGCCATGGAGATTCGAGAACGAAGAGGGGCAATTGACGCTGTTTTGCCAATTACCAATTTACAAATCGTTCTGTGCATTCGTAACCAGTTAATAATGAATTAGAAAAAGAACAGTTAATAATAAATAAATATATAAAATAATAATAATTTCTTTTTTAAAGAAAAACATCAATCTACTGCTGGCAGGGGAATGATGTCTTCCTGTTTGATTTTTTGGTCTGCAGAAGGAAAAGAAAGTAATAAAAGACATCTTCTGCGGGACCCACTTTCCCACTAAAAGATCGGTTCACAGCCTACGCGCCAGAAACTCAACTTATTACAGAGCGAGAGAGAGAACACAGATACTTCTCTGCATCTGATTATACACAACCATAGCCAGCCTCGCCTCCTCCTCTCCTTTCTCCCGTCTGATTATGGATTAGACTTCGCAACCGGAAGCCTCTTTCCTCTCACCACTCTAACCATACCTAGTCCGACCATACGGCTACTGCTCGCCGGCTTAAGTCCCGAGATTGGGGCGATCTAGGGTCCCGAGCTGCTAG